ATGAAGTTAGGAAAGAAATTGGAAAAAAGACAATTACAAGACAACCAAGAATAAATACCCTAAAAATGAATAATGAGCAGGGGGGAAATCAGGAGAATATAAAAGAGATAAAGAGAGAATTCACAGAGCAAATTTGGCAAGTAGAAGGCAGGCAAATTATGTTTAGACTTCCTATCATTGGAACCCATGGGAAAAAAAGCAAAACAATGGAAGAGAAACAATATCCAACACTATAATGCAAATCAATAAATAAGTATAAAAATGAATCTTTCCAGGATGAAAGAAAACTTGAAGTTTTATTTTAAAAACACATATTAGTTACCTGGAAGAAAAGTTTCCCAAAATAAACAACTCTAAACCATATCCTAGTAACCAGCATTCAATTAAAACATGAAGAAAATTCCAAAGGACTTCAGCGGGGGCAGAAAAAGAGACGAAATAAATTACAAGGGCAAAAGAATTGGACTGGTGTCAAACTTCTCACAAATGACACAAAAAGTGAGTCAACTTTGAAATAGCCTAATAAGAAAACAGTGAAAGAAGCCAGAACCAAGGATTTTACATCCAGCCAATCTGTCCTTCAAGCAGCAAGTCAATTGCAAAATGCTCTCAGCAGATGAAAACATTTTGAAAAACCTACCAGTGTGCAATGATTAGGAAAACTTAAGAAAGAAAGACTAATGGTAAGCATTTTAACATATACCGAGGGCATATTAGATACTAAAATAAACACAGAGATAAGGTTATGAAACTAATTTACAAATGTTATTTGTTCTTGCAAAGCAGAAAATGCACTAACTGAAAATAATCTAGTAAAAGAGAGGGAAAAAAGCTCACTGTTAGTATGAACAGTAACCGTGAGTTAAAAACTAACAACTGATAATCAAAAGAGGGAAGTTTTTTTAAAAAGTCAGGTTATTAAGAAAGTTAAAAATATAAAAAAAACATAAAAACAACAAAAAATACAAAGGTAAAATAGTCAAAAACATAAAACCTCTAAAATACTAAAATAAAAATATTATAAATTAGTGTTCAAGGAACCCACATTTCATATAGAAACATAGCAATTATAATTAAAATATTCTGATAGAATTGAGAACAAACACTATTACCAGTCATTTCAGTAAAGAAAATAGAGCTCACTTATATATTGAAATAAAAAAGTTCATTTTGGCTCGCAAACCAGGACCTAATATGTTACATACAAGAAACAGCTAAAATAAAGTAATTCATGAAGGCAAAAATTAATGAGAAGTACAAAAAGTATCAGACAAATGGAAACAAGAAAGTGTGGGTAACTATCCTGATATCAGGTAAAGTATAATGTAAGTCAAAAAAGTTTTAATTGTGACGAATAAGATCTTTTTTTAAATGCTAATGACACAAGTCCTTATGAAGATATAATTTAAAATAGTTATCAAGTAAATAACGATGCAGCTATCTTTATGAGGCAAAATCTACAGAAGACAAGAAACATAGTCACATGCCAAAAATTAAAAATTAAAAAAATCATTAAATTCCACGCTCAAAAACTTAGAAAATAACAAAAAATTAAAACATAATAAAATATAAGGAATGTTAAAAAAAGTAGAAATTTTGAGATAGTTAACAGGAAAACTAATATTTGAAAATCGTAAGTTTTGAGGGGAATTAACAACATGGGAAAACAATTGTTTTTAATTTTCTTGATCAAAATGGGGTAATAAAACAATATATAAAATAGGAAAAACAAAAGGGAAATAAACGTTGAAAAAATGTTTTTTTCTTTGAAAATCCTAAGAGTCTACTTTGAAGACTTCTTTGCAAATAAATTTTAAAAGCTTGATTAAAAGGTTTTATTTTCCTAGAGAAATACAGATTACCAAAATTGCCCTGTTAGAATATAAAACATTAACAAACCAGTCTCAGTAAGAAAACAAAGTGATTATTCCCAAAAAAGATAAGACCTTAGTCTTATGTTTTTACAATGGAATTCTACAGAATCTCCAAAAGCCAGGTATTGTTAATGCCCAATAACTTGCTGGACTTTTGAGAATAAAGTAAAACTCTCTTCCATGAAACAAACATAAATATTATACCTAAAAATGATGATGACATTACTCAAAAATAAAATGGAAGATTAATATTACTCATGAATATTCATGATGAATACTGAATAATGTTAGCAAAAAGAATCCAGCACTTTATTACATACATAATATATGATGACCAAGAGGGCTTATTCAGGTATGCAAATTGTTTTAGTTCATATTATGCACTATATTAATAGTACTAAAGAGGAAAAAGCTCATAATTATTTTTAGAAATGCTGAAAAGGACTTAACAAACTTCAATACCATTTCCTGATTTAAAAATAAAGTGAAGAAAACCAAGGGATCATTTCTTAATGTGAATATCCATATGAAGAAACACTAGTCATTTCTAAGATCTAGAACAGCCAAAGTTACCCACCATTACCACTATTATTCACTATTATTATTAGTGAATGCTATTATATGAGGAATATCAATGAAGTGCACATGAACTGGCAAAGAAAAAATAAAATTATTTCTTTGCATAAGACATAATATTCAATGCTTAAATTAACAATAAAAAAAATCAGTAAAGTAGCAGAAAGATAATGACCATTTATATATCCATAACACTGATATACAAAAACAATAAACAGAGGACATTATGGTTGAAAACACCATTTACAGAAAGAAAAAATAAATGGTAGAATTCAATTTAAGAAATATGAAAAAGCAATATAAGTAAATCTTTAATATATTCCTGAAAGGTAGAAAATAAACATGAAGAATTAGAAAGTCAGCCCATGTTCCTATATTAGATGACTAAATGTAATAAAGACGTTTTTCTCTTAAAGTTAATTTATAAATTTAACACAATTACCAATAAAAATAACAATTTTTTTAAATTTATTGGAGCTAAACTTGTTGATAAGTTTAAAAAATAAAGCTCATATATTTTTTTGAAATACAAGAATAGCCAGAAAGACTGAAAAGGTAAAAAAATGAAAATATGAGAAGGGCCTGGCTTTATAAGACATTATCACCATGTTTTAGTTTCAATACACTGTGCTATCTCTATTTATATAGTGTAGTGGTAAATAAATAGAAGAACAGATGAGAGAATGAAACAGAAAAGGAAGATATAACAAAATTACATATGAAATTGTAATATATAATAAAGTTGGTATCTCAAATAATACAGGCAAAGATTGATTTTTTCTTCTTTTAATAAATTATGCTGAGTCAACCAAAAAGCCATTTGGAAAGATAAAAATTAGAATTATGCTGCAAACCATACAATAAACTCCAGATGGATCAGAGAATTAAATATTAAAAAAGCAATAACAAGTATTAAAAGTAAACATGGATTGATTCCATTCTAAAACAGTAACACTTGGACCAAACTGTATTGAAAATAAATAATGTAACCATAGCGAAGTAAACAGAAATGAAGTTACAACCTAAATAATTTTGAGGATCAATACTTTGATTGCATACTGAAAAAGCTAAAATAAAGACTAATTGTACATAAGTATTTTATTCTAGTTAATTTGTTATCATAGACATTTAAAAATTATAAAACTATGTATTTATTGTAATTGAACAAGAAAGATATTCCATAGATAAATGAGAGTCAAGTATCTTCTTTTTAGTTTCTTTTTTTTAAATTGTTTTTCAATTACAGTTGTTCCCATTTTTTCCCTCATTACTCTCCCCTGCCCTAACCACCCCCACCTCCCACATTCAATTCCCCCGTGTTGTCTTTGCCCATAGGTCCTTTATACATATATGCTCTTCAACTTGACCCTTCAGGCATCTTATTGTTGCAAAAAGGAGTTAAAAATGAAAAAGCTAGACTGAACCCTGTGGTGTTTAGATTGGAATCAGAGATCCTAGTATAAATTCATAGTTTATAATACATGTATTAAGGGATAGGTATAGAAATATAAATGTCTGTGAATGTGTGTGTACAATGTATTGAGATTGTACTTCTGCCCCTTGAGATTGGCAAGAAGTGGCACCCTATATGAATGAATATACCTCGTGCCCAGATCACAGTTTCTAAATAGCTTTCTACAAAAAAGGAAACAGTCCTCTTTGGAGAAATGGTTAATTCCATTGCTTTATTACAATGAGTGTGAAATGCTTTATGTGCTAGAAAGAATGGATATGCTAAGAATATGATGGGAACATGTGAAAGGAAGCAGAGTATCCATTTTAATTTCTATATATTGCTCATAAAAATTAGAAAATAATTTTAAATGTATTTATATTTGAATCAAAACTCTAAATATGTAAAATTAAATCTAGTAAAATATACATTATTTAACGCTCCCTCAAAGGAAACATTAATAAAAATATATATACTTTGAACAACAGATGATGTTCATGAATTTGGTATGAGAAGAATTCAATAAGGTACCAATTCCAATTTCCCTAAAACTGGCCAAAGATTTAATGCAATCTCAATAAAATCTTGCCAATTTATATTTTTGTTTGTTTTAAAGATTCACAGGGAAGACTTAGAAGATCATTATGTTATAAAATGTACACATAAATGCAAAAGACCAAAGATAACAATCTTTACAAAGAAGACCAAAGTAGGATTACTTACACTAAATATACTATCAAGGCTTATAATTCTACATTAATTAAATCTGTATATTTTTATGCAAAATTAGAATGCCTATTTTTCAAATATTTACTCCTGAAATATCTCTCAGCTTCTCAAAGTTTCATCAAAACTTTGCTGTTGTACCCTTCATTGTAGCAGTTGTAAAATAATTACATCAGAAATGTTTATATTTCTTTATTTGTTCATTGGACTGTGAAACCCTCAAACTAGTGCCATCCCAGTTAATAATTGTTTAGCCCAGCAGTTTGACATAACACCAGCTACTAAAGGAATGTGTGACCTATAATTAAAATAACATCAGTAAATATAGTCTTCATAGTCCCCCACATCTCAGAATGATAACTAAAACTTACCTCCTATATCTGGGCGAAGTTTGTTGTCATAACCTTGAAGCAATGAATTGAGGATTTGTGTTACATCTCCTTCATGAATCTTTGGTGCCAAAACCCAAGTTTTGTTGACTGTTAAATCCTCATCATCTTCATCATCTGCTTTATCAACACTACATAATTCCAAAAATAAAACAGGATGATACAAATTTCAACCAAATTGTGTATTTCAAAAACATAGTTTAAGATTATTATAATTTTGTTAGGGAATAGTTAGAGGTGGGAAGAGCATTTAAAATATTTTCTTTTTTTAAATACAATTTTTTATTGTTCAAGTACAGTTGTCTCCATTTTCCCACCACCACTTTCCCCTATGCCACCCATAATATTTTATATTCAGTAAGACTAGTGACTTCATTATACTAACTGTCATACTAATAATAGCACTCAAAACTAATATGTTACAAAAATATAACACATAATATTAAAAATAATAAAATAAATATTGGCCACCCCCACAACTGTTATGAAAAGGATAGAGATTATGCCCTGAAAGTGTGAAGGGTGGCCCTAGATTTGTTCAGTGCACAATCTGGACAACCATATATGGTCACTCTAAACCACCACACCCAAAAATTAAAATTAAAATATAAATAAGTACAGGAAGAGTGTAGTAATTAGTATGCTAAAATGTATAAAAATGCACATAAACCTAAGAAGGTTAAAGGAAAGATGAGTGAAAAGAGTTAAAGTAAAAGGAAATAAGTATTGAACACATCTAGGCCTTTCTCCTTTTAAGTCAAAAGAACCCAGACATCTTATCCCAAAAACATCACGAAAGATTGTCTTAAAATCAAATCAAGGCTGTGTGACTCACCCTCCACATATATTTGGGGGTAGAGTTGAAGTAAAAGGAAATAAGTATTCAACTATTGAACACCTCTATCGCTTTCTTCTTTTACATCAGAAGAGTTCAGGCATCTTATTCTAAAAACATCACCAAAGATTGTCTTATCATGAAACTAAGGCTGTGTGACTCACCTTCTACATACACTTGAGGGTGTGATTCTCAACTTTAGGACTAGAATAGAATTTAAGGATCAAATAGCCCACTGTCTTTATAATGCAAAGGAGAAAACTGAAGACAGTAAGGAACTAACCAAACACAACCTTACTTATTAGCAAAACTGGTAATCAAGCTCTAACTAGCCAGTTAACACTTCCTGCTACACCTATGTGTTTAACAAATGTAAAAAAATTCAGCTTACTTCTGAATTGTGATGGAAAATGCAGTAATATAGATATTCATCTGCAATTCATCAAAAGTATCAGGGTACTCTCAATTAAGAACTATCAACTTTATACCATGCAGGAGATAGCTGACATACTCAAAATATAAAGTTATTGGTGAAAATGAAAAATGTGTCTTGTACTTCAGGAAAAAACCACATGGACTTTGTGGCCAACCCAATATTTACATATACAGTCTTTTAAAAATTGGCTTCTCTCCAGTAGTGAATATATAAGTTTATGTTATCTTTAGTTAATCTTCCTACACTATCCACTCAAGATCTATTTTCTTTGGACCTAAACATCTTAGCTAATACAGCCTCCACCCCTTTGAACATTCAACATATAGCATTGCATAAAGTTAAGTTATATAACAATGAATTAATATATGTATATACTGAAAAAAATGATTACCCAAATAAGTTTAGTTAGCGTCCACCCTCTTTATCTTTAATGAGTATAAATCAACATTTTAAATTAAAACTTAACCTGTATAGTATTTGCTACCTCATTTCATCTCCATAATAAGTCTGATAGTTATTATCAGCAGATAATGGGCTGCATTATTATTCTCAGTGTTGCTCCTCTCCTTCCTGTCAGAAAATTACTTTTTATTGTACTCAATTCTAACTTAGACATGTGACTTGAAACCCTCCTTCCTGAGATAGGATTATACATACCCATCCCATTGAACTCTGTGTGGCCCTGTGATTTGCTTTGACTTATAGAAAATATAGAGTATGTGTCACAACCAAGCTGAAGTTTTAATGTCAGTGCATGGTTCACCATATATCTCTCATTCTTCTGTCAGAAGAGTAGCCATACTCAGACAGAGGCTACTCCATCATGTCACTTCCAGAGTGAATGTAACGTGGACAGACACATGGTTGACCCATGATGGACATGTAGACTGAGCAAGAAATAACCAATGTTGTAAGCCACTGAGATGTAAGGTTATTTTATTACCATAGTATACAACTTTTATTTCTATGTAAAATACTAGGGTACATTTAGTAAACAGAATTTTAATGAAGAGCTCATTTATATTCATTGCTCTGCCATATTTAACTTCAAAAAGTACATACTACCAGTACAGTTGAATAATTTCTTTTTACATAGTTGTATTTTTTTTACAGTAGCAACATCCTCGTATTCCAAAAACAACATGCTCATAGTGATTTATTTTCCCCTCTCCTAGGTAGCTCAAAGGTAATATGAAAATTGACCTCAATAATATTTCAAAGCTAACTTTCTTCATTTTTGGCAATAACAGAAAAAAATGTATTAAGGTTAATTTTTCCATATCTTCCTTCCAAGCTTTTAATACTATCTTCAAACTACTCATTATTACCTTGAATATCATATTGGTATCATTTTGGTTATTAAAAATTACTTCTCATAATTTAAAAAATAGTTCAGATAACATTTCACATCATAATGTCTTTCATAGGCTGAAAGATTTTTGTAACATTTACTTATGTTCAGCGAGTGAGTGAGTGTTCATTTGGGGAAAACAATTATGATTTTCAGTAATACTCTGACAAATTCGAGACTCATGGTTAAGGACTCCTTTTAAGTAATTTGAATACACATAATTTTATCATTAGTGTTAATATATTAGGCCCTTCAATATGTACATTTACTGTTTATTTTAAAGATTGATGTATTATTGTTATTCCCTACTATTGAATGTCTATAATGTACCAGTAAGTGCCTGCCATATTTCAGGAACTTTGGGCTAAATTCCTCCCACGTTACAACATTTAATCCAGAGTAATTCCTTGAAGGAAATATTAAAATTCATATTTTACAGATAAAAAATAAGTTTACAGAACTCCCAGGACATACACTATTCAATAATACAGCCAGGATTTAAGACGATATTGATTTAGTTCAAACACTTGTTTCTCTCCTTTGAATTTTCCACATCGGATTTTATCTTTTTTAAATCATTTTTAAAAATTTTTTTATTGTTAAAATATATTTGTCTCCATTTCCCCACCACCACTTTCCCCTGCCTCACCCACCCCACCTCCCACCCTCAGTCCTTCCCCACTTTGGTTTTGTCCGTGGGTCCTTTATACAAGTTCCTTGATTTGACCTTTGGCTCTTCTTTCCCTGTGACCTCCCACCCTTCGCCCCTCTCCCTACTGTCAGTTTCTTTTTTCTTTCAATGTTGCTGGTTCTATTTTCCTTGCTTGTTTTTTTTGTTAGTTTCTATTTATAGATGAGATCATATGATATTTGTCTTTCACTCCCTGGCTTATTTCGCTTACCATAATGCTCTCCAGTTCCATCCATGCTGTCACGAAAGGAAGTAGCTCTTTCTTTCTTTCTGCTGCATAGTATTCCATTGTGTAAATGTACCACAGTTTTTTGATCCACTCATTGACTAATGGGCATTTAGGTTGCTTCCAGCACTTGGCTATTGTAAATTGTGCTGCTATGAACATTGGGGTGCATGGGTTCTTTTGAATTGGTGTTTCAAGATTCTTAGGGTATAATCCCAGCAGTGGAATTGCAGGGTCAAAAGGCAGCTCCATTTTTAGCTTTTTGAGGAAACTCCAAACTGTTCTCCACAGTGGCTGCACCAGTCTGCATTTCTACCAGCAATGTATTACGGTTCCCTTTTCTCCACATCCTAGCCAGCACTTGTTGTTTGTTGATTTGTTTATGATGACCATTCTGACTGGTGTAAAGTGGTATCTCACTGTCGTTTTAATTTGCATTTCTCTGATGGCTAGTGATGCTGAGCATCTTTTTGTATGTCTCTTGGTCCTGTGTATGTGCTCCTTGGAGAAGTGTCTGTTCAGGTCCTTTGACCATTTTTTAATTGGGTTGTTTGTCTTCCTGCAGTGGAGTCATGTGAGTTCTTTATGTATTTCGGAGATTGAACCCTTGTCCGAAGTATCATTGGCACTTAGGAGTATATTTTCCCACATGGTTGGTTCCCTTTTCATTTTGCTGATGTTTTCTTTCGCCATGCAGGAGATTCTTATTTTGATGAAGCCCCATTTGTTTATTCTTTATGTCCTTTGCTCTAGGTGACATATTGGTGAAAATATTGCTGAGTGGAATATCTGAGAGATTCCTGCCTATGTTCTCCTATAGGACTTTTATCGTGTTGCAACTTATATTTAAGTCTTCTATCCATCTTGAGTTTATTCGTGTGTATGGTGTAAGTTGGTGGTCAAATTTAATTTTTTATATGTAGCTGTCCAGATCTCCTAACACCATTTGTTGAAGAGGTCATTTTTACTCCATTTTATGCTTTTGCCCACTTTGTCAAATATTAATTGACCATAGAGACATGGGTTTATTTCTTGGCTCTCTATTCTGTCTCATTGATCTATGTGTTTGTTCTTATGCCAGTACCAGACTGTTTTCATTACAGTGGCCTTGTAATATAGCTTGATGTCAAGTATTGTGATCCCTCTTATTCTGTTATTCTTTCTCAAAATTGCTGCAGCTATTCAGGGTCGTTTATGGTTCCATATAAATTTTTTAAATATTTGTTCTATATGAAATATAGAACATATTTGGTATTTTAATAGGGATTGTGTTGAATCTATAAATTGCTTTGGGTAGTATGAACATTTTGATGATGTTAATTCTACCAATCTATGAGAACAGTATATCCTTTCATTTATTTGTGTCTACCTTAATTTTTTTCTTCAGTGTTGTGTAGTTTTCTGAGTAAATGTCTTTTACTGCCTTGGTTAAGTTTATACCTAGGTACTTTGTTTTTCTTGTTGCTATAGCAAATGGGATTTTTTTCCCTTATTTCTGATCCTGATACTTCATTGTTGGTGTACAAAAATGCCTTCGATTTCTGAATATTGACTTTGCTCCCACTATTTTGCGAAATTCACTTAGTAGGTCA